ATTTAAATTTTCTCCGTTCCTTCAAAAATTCGAATTATCTTCTTCCCTACTTCTTTTCTCATCTTTCTGATTTATTTTATTTTCCTTTATTTATTTTAAAAATTCGAATTTTTCTGCGGCCCCCTAAAATCTGATTAGGACTTAGCCATTCTTGCTTTCGGCACACATTTTGACCCCGTGGGGGTAACGAAATGCTGCCGAAATTTGTGAAAAATCCAAAACTTGGTTAGTTTCTCTTCACTCTCTCCACCTCCTTATTTATTTATCTATTTATTTACTTATTTACTTATTTTTCTGAAAATTTTAATTTGCGGCATTGTAAAAATTAGTGTGCTTCTCTTAGTCTCTCCTTTCTCTTTGCACATTTTGACCCCGTTGGGGTAAGAAAATGCTGCCGAAATTTTCAAAAAAATAAATAAGTCCTCTTCCCTCGCTCTTTACATTTTATTTCTTTATTTATTTTTATTTCTTCTTTTATTTTATTTTTATCTCGAAATTTTATTGTTTATTCTATTTTCTTTCCCCCTCCCCTCCATATTATCTTTTTTTTTTATTTGGTCGCCGCTACCCTCTCCTAACCACCTAAACTCCGATTAGGGTTTTCTTAGGGTTTTCTAGGGTTTAGGGTTCTCCTAACTCCCGCCCCCCTTCCTACTCTCCCGCCTCCTCCCGTCGGCCACCCTAGACCTGGACGACTCCTCCCCTCTCGAGCGGTTCGGCGCCTTCGTCTCACGCGCGACCCGCAAAATCCGAGGCGAGCCGACGCACACATACTCACTCCGCTCCCGCGGTCCCCTTCCTCTTACCGGTGGGCCCCTTTCCCCACACACTCCTCTGAGGACTACCTCCATTCCCCTTCCGGCCATGGAAGGGAGTTCATCCGAGGAGATCGCTGCGGCGCAGTCCACACCCCAGGTCAGCGTGCCGTCAGCGGCTCATGATCAGGCCCATGAGGACACGATGGACATTCATGCCGTCCTTATAGCAATCCAGGCACAACTTAGTACGCTTGGACCGTTGCAAGCGCAAATCAATGCGCTAGCCCTCGACGTCAACCGCCTCAAGGGTTCCCCTCATCGCTCTCTCCACCGCTCTCACACCCCTTCCCCTACCGGCTCCGATTCCGGCTCCCCAGGACTCCAGAGACGGAGTCACCATGGTTCCCCCTCCTCTGCGGGCCAGGCTCAGCACTCCCCCTCAGCGGTGGCGAGTGCTACTGCCGCTCAGACCACCCCGTCCGTTGCGGCAGTTTTTCCGGCCACGGCCGCCCCTACCGTCTCTACTACTGCCGTGGGTGCTGCGGTCCAGGTACAACCATCTGGTCGCGCAGTTTCATCGACCTACCCCGGTGTTGCTTCCCAGCTTCCCGCACCGGTCGCGGCAATACGGCTCCGCCCTCTTCTTCCTGCCTTCGTCCCCCCACCCCCACAACAGGGTACCGCCCAGACTGGGATTCCTCCTCCTACTGGGCGACCCGCTCCGCCCCCTCCACCTCCGACCCCGCGCACCCAGCGAGTGGCCACTTTACAGGCCACCATTGCGCAGGCTCAGGCGGAGATTCTC